GATTTATTGATTAAAATATCAATTAGAAATGAGAAATTAGATGCAATATGATTTGTAATGTTTAAGGTAATTGGTAGCCCAAGATTTAAGCAGGCTGCCAAGGTCAAAAAGAAACTGTATATCATCGTACTTACGTACATCTGCATATCACATGCTGATTTGATCCTTATGATTCGTCTTCATTCCTGTTTAATCTGTAATTTTAATGCTTCTCTTTTTGTTTGTATACTGATATTGATATTTACGACTGCGATTTTGTTTGAGTGGGTCAAGTTGATACTGACCTTGGACTATGTGCTGAGACTGTTCGGCGAGTGATTCGTGTCTAGAGAGAGTTTTGATCCTGTCTTGTTGGAAATATTCTCCTTGGTTGTCAACACTTGAGGACTAATTTTGTTTATTTATTTATTTTTTGATTACAGCTTGATTCAACACCGTATTTTTGGTACAAGTATGGAATTTTCAGCATGTGATATCGGTAGCCCAAATTTTGCAGGCCGACCGTAGATATCGGGTGTACGTCGGTAGGGGATCGAACCTCAAACCATGTGCATGGTTGGCGAGGGTCCTAACCACTGTGCTACTGACTCATAGCTGCCCAATGGCATTGTGCGGTACCTCAGATTTTTTACATGTTTTCGTTGAGGCATTTTGTGTCTGTAAGTAACTTAAAGGAGTTTTGATCAGCTAGAATGCAAAGAACAGTTCCCTGAGTTCAGACCACAACAAATCAGTTTCGGTCGTTACATTTAAAAACAAAACCCAGGTCACATTCAAGTTATCTAAACACCTAACGATTATTACATTTTTCTAATATTACACAAAGGTATTTTAATAAATGCAAATACCGATAAATTTAGATCATTTACATCAACAAACAAAACGATTTTAATGAATCAATAAAGTCATACGTGATCCTAAATCATCTTTATGACTCCAAAAAGATTTTTTTAATTGAATTTCATTAGATAATTACAAATACCTAAATAAACATTATAATGTGTATACGTAAAGAAACTTTAACGTGTTTGTTCTCTCTCTGTCTATCATATTCTTAATTGCAAGTCTCAGAATAAGCAGTGAATGGATCCTGAGTTATTTATCACGATACGTGCACACACATATATACATACACTATCACTTATTTTTATAACATTTAGGAAGAAGGCTTTATGAAAGATAGAAAACAAAAGGATGTGTTTCGGGTTTTGATCAAGGATTGATCTCAGTGTGATAATCATTGAAAACAACTAAACAGTGCTGGACAGACGTTTCGCCCTTGTCTAAGACTCTTGGGCAGTACGAACCGCCAGAGTTCAAACCAAAGACCTTCTGGTTACAAGAAAAGCCCACAGACCATTCAGCCAGTGAGACCGAACGCAACAGCCAGCCCATGAATTATAACTTCTACTTATTCGTAGTTTTGGCGCAGTCACCAGTGAATGTCTAGTGGCTGAGTGTACTACGAGGTTCTGATTTCGAGCTCTAGTAGATTCAGCTTGTCGAAGAGTTCCAAACTAGGACGAAACAGTTGTCCAGTACGCCCTATTGGTTTTCACTGGTTCTGAAACAAATCTAATGTCTACAAATTATTTCTTGCGAAGGGTATGTGGCATTAAGTGTCAGTTTTACGTTCTTCCTGCTTATTATTCTTATTCATTTGTATATCGATTCTATGGAAATCGATCGATGAAAAGCACACTTGTGCAAACACGTACACACAAATAGTGAACAAGAGTTCAGCTAGTATGTTTACTATGCAAGGTTTAGAATACACATATATAAAAAGGAGCTGGGCATCTTATAGACATAAGATTTAGATATGTTTCCTTCGCACATTACACAAGCATGCTTTGTTACGTCTTCTATGCTTAGTTGATTACTTTGAAACTGGATACACTTAATGGCGTCTGATCCACACAACGGTACAATGGTTAATGCTTTTACAGTTGTTATTAAAATAGATTTTCTTTTCAGGAGTTGATTTTGTAAAGATTTCAACGGTTTCAAGTTTTACAACGGAGCGACTGAAAGTCAGGAAGTACTAGATGGCTGTTTTGCCCTACTTTTGAACTCTCAAGCAGTAAACCATTAAGTAAGCCATCCGTTTGGATATCACTGGTTGACAGTCGCTCTAAAATTCACGAATTGGTGGTAGTTATGTAACAACAGAAGACAAGGGCTAGCGAAACAGATCGTTTATTAAGGAAATCAACACGTATTTATAGATTTTCATGTACATTGTTATAGATTATTGTTAAAAGAAAAACACAGTCTTCTGACTGATTGTTTCTCACTGAAAGTTAATCTTGCATCTCTCTGTGGCTGTTTCTATAATGTCAGATCATCTATATGTTAACTGTATCCACCTACGCAGAGCCTTTATCCTCATTTTTCTCACGACCAATATTGGGGACATAAACATTGATGTAAATTACTGTCCACCGATTTTGACTAACAGCCAGCTCTCACCACAGTTGGAATTCATGGGTCGGCTATTGGATCGGGTTCTAGTGGCTGACTGGTCTACGAGCATCCCTTGTAACCGGAAGGACCTTGGTTCCAAATGCTGCTGAGTTACAAACTATAAAGAAACAGCTGTCTAGTACTCCCTGTTGAATCCCAATGTTCGCCTAACTGATATCCATCCGTGGTCAAAGTATTTTTACCATTGTACCAACTGATTTATATCCCCTGCTTCTCCAGCATAGCTACTCAAAATATTTCTGATAAATCCTTTACACAAGTACTCACCCAGTCATTTAATAAATTCCATTTTGTCTATTTAATATACATCAGATGGCCAGAAACGATCAGGAACAGGGGGTGATCTCTGGCAATGAGCGAACCAACCCAGTAGGAACCAATCGTGCAGCAGATATGCAGGAACAAGTGGGGGTGGATTGGCCATGCTCTGAGAAAACCATCGAGTGACATCACACACCAAGTTTTCGAGTGAGACCTGATTGGGAAGTGGCGAGTTGTTCGTCAGTGTGAGGATGACACTGAGGAGGTCACGCGAACAGCAGATGGAAGCATATGGGCGGACTTGGAGTCAGGTGAAAATGTTGGGGGAGAACCGAACGCAATGGAGACGTGCGACTTAAGCCGTATGTTTCTCTAGGAACTAAAGGAGATAATAATAATAATTACTATACATCTCCGGACGATAATACCGATTGCTGGTAATTTTTTTAACTGGAACTCACAGATCTTTTAATATTACTTTCACTACCAGGTAACTGTCAAATAGTTGCTTCAACATTTTCGATCTTAACCTTTTCGGAAAAGCGATAATCGTTAGAATTCGAGAGAAATAATAAGTTCTAGCAGGATTCGAACTAAGCAACTTTGTTTTAGCCAAACTGAAACAGTGATGCTTATTCACGGATAAGAAATGATTCCTTTCGCAATGAAGTCTTTTATTTTGTTGAGATTTCTTTAACAAATTGCAGAATGACGATACAAGCAGAATAGGAACGAACACAAAAGAAATAAGATTTTCTCACAAAGAGAATTTTGTAAAAAAAAAGTGAGAAGAACTTTACAAATTATATGAAATTATGAATAATCTGGTGTCTTCCACACATTGAAACATAGTCCTTTCAACTTAAAATGAAATGCAGTACCAGGTTCATGGGAATAAGAAGCCCAAAATGATCCATTCAATATCCATACATGCCATGATCTACCAAATGTTGCGTCTAAAAATTCTTTCAGTCTTTTCGACAATAGTTTTGTATTATCAACGCCTATATCTTCAATTAGCGATCTTGCCTCGTTGCTAACATTGATTTGTTGTGGCAGACTCATATCGCCTGCAATGTATTCAACATCTCTGCCAAGTTTAAAAATGGCTGGCTGTTGTTCAATTGTTATCCTTCTTTGTTTAATACTAGAATTTGTTTGTTTTTAAATAAGAGAAAAAGAAAAGAATATCGACATAGAAACGAAAAACAACTCTTCACTTATTATAAATATTTAATTGTAAAAATAAACAAAATAATAAGCGATGATGACGAAAGGGGAAATAAATTTTGTTCTTTTAATTTTCAAGAGTTAGTTTTCGGGGATTTGATTTCTTCAAGTTTCCTCGCTGATTGATATAGGCCTAGGCATCAACTGGGGCTCGAACCGAGAACCTCCTGATTATAGATCAGGCTCATAGATCATTCAGCCAGTGGGACCCCGTTCATTGGCCAACCCGTGGATCCCAACTTCTACCGATTCTTCATGCATTTATTTCCGTTGATGAATTCTAATGAAGCAAGAACAACAGTGGTTTCCGCAAAATAATATGGCATAATTATTCCTTATTTCGTTGGCCTCTCATCAGCTCAGCTGCTTACAGCCTAAATAAATTATTATTCTGCACAAACCACTACTATTCTTGCCATTATTTAAATTCTACCAATTCTTGAGTTTAGAACCACATCAAACCAACATCATCAGTTAGTATCCGTCTCTGCTCCTAACCGTGTGTACGACTTCTCCCTAGAACTCCAGTCAACTTTATCCTGTAACCTGTAGTCACTCATGAACATGAAATCGTCTTCTTTAACATCCCATAATATACATATGAATATGATTCGAAGAATATTCATATCGCGTTCTTTAATTTCATAAACAAATTCTTTTGTGTGTAAGTAACCCGCTGGTAGAATATTTGCCAACCAGTCTTATGGTCTGGGTTCGATTCCTAACCGACGCACTTCTGAATCTCTCTTAGTTCCTTGAAAGAAAGTAAGGTCGTTTATGAGGTTAGAGACCGCAGTGCATAAAGTGCCACTGCTTTAAGCCCTATTTACCACTTGGAACGTAAGCTAACATATTTACACAATGATAATACAGAGTTTACAAATACGTCTTGCATCTAAATGATAGGTGTGCCTAAGCCAGAAATGAGTAGAGCACTTTGTGAGTTAACTAGTTCATTATCGTCATCGTCATTTAAAAAATATATATATTTGGATTTGAGAAGGGATACCCAGAACTTTATATATATATATATATATATATATATGAAGACAGTTGCAGCGAAGAAAATTTTCTTTTCCGCGAAGTCACCAACTAGGCTGTACATTCGTGTATTTATATTGAATGGATGGGAATAATTTCCGGTCAAGGGGCAAATTAATAAAATTACTATGAGGGATTAAAATGCGATAATATATGGGGGCGACGGATAAAACTCAAACAAAGTAGCATCATAATTATTAGGAAGATTTACATATTGTGCAGTTAGAGGGTTAGACATGTAGAAATAACAACAATAGACAGGATGTTTGGATATGAAAATATAATAGTGTAAACAGGGATTATGAAAAACTTAAAAATAACATGAATAAACAGGAAATTTGGATAAGAAAGGCAGTGCAAGGGTTAAATTAATAGAATTACAATTAGGGCATAGCCGAGGAACTAGCCATTCAAAAGCTCAAACCCACGCTATGTATATAAAAGAAATACGTCCAACCCTTGTCCCTGCCATGGCCATCATAAACAGGTAATTTTTCTAATAGTGACTATTCCATTGACTTTCTTATTCAAACTTCCCACCTATTTTGTCATTTTATTATTTCTACATATAGAATTCCTGATTACATAAACAATTATTATTCGTCACAGTAGTTATGACCTCACTAGATTTTGTATCCAAGCATCCTGTCTATTGGTGTTATTTCTACATTTCCAACCTCCAATTGCACAATATGTCAATCTTCTCACTAATTATGATGCTACTTTGTTGAGTTTTATCCGTCGCCCCCATATATTATCGCATTTTAATCCCTCATAGTAATTTTATTAATTTGCCCCTTGACCGGAAATTATTCCGCAACATTCCTACTTAATTATTATAAATACGCGAATGTACAGCCTAGTTGATGACTTCGCCGAAAAAGAAATTTTCTTCGCTGCAACTGTCTTTTTATTATTCCGTATGATTCCGTGATATATATATATTCAAACATTGGTTTTGAGCTGACATAAGTCCCTGAAAAACCTGCAGGGACTACTGGACAGCTGTTACGTCCTAGTTGGGGACTCTTCAGAAGTACGCACCCACCTGGGTTCGAACCCAAGACCTTCTGGTTACAAAGTCAGCGAGCTCGTAGACCACTGAGCCACTGGGACCCGATCCACTGGCTCGCATTGTACCAGAAGGTTCTTGGTTCGAACCCTAGTGGTGCGTGCATACTGCCAAATAGTTCCAAAACTAGGCTGACGAAACAGCTAGTGGGAAGCCGTGACCAGTAGATTATAGCAGGTTGAAGATGAGGCAGCAGCTCATCGAAGAAGACTTTGCGAAATGGTCGCACTATGTCGTTAATTAGCAGAAGTTGGAATTCATCCACTGACTGACCACTGAATCGGGTCCCAGTGTCTCAATGGTCTATAAGCTCGCTCACCTTGTAACCAGAAGGTCCTGGGTTCGAACCGTGGTGAGTGGGTACTACTTAAGAGTCCCAAGCTAGGCTATATATATATATATCGTATAAATTTGTCGGTAATCCGCCTACTCTGAAGTCACTCATTGTTGTACAGTCTGGATAAAGACGCCTTTCTTGAATCCACCCACATACTACTCACAAATTAAAAAAAATACTGCTACCATTACTAATAATAATCTGACTTCTTTTATCATAATAAATAAAAACAAACAAACTGTTTACATCTAATTATCTAATTTGAATCAATTTCAAAATGATCATAGCATTTCTTTTGTTGTTTTTTTTATTGTGATGAACAGAGAGAGTTATTAGAAAAAAAAATTGTTTTACTAATTAAAGATAAAAGGCTGGCGCAAAGTTAATAATGCAAACAAAACAAGACACAGAGAAGCAGAAGAAAACAAGGAAATGGTTTTCTTTTCTGATGCATAAATTTTAAGTTTTAATTATATTTGAACATATAATTTTCTGGTGTTTTCCAAACTGAAATTAAATACTGTTTCAATTTAAACTGGAAGGCAGTCTCAGCTTCATATTCATAAGCGCATGAATAAGAACTGAGACCTATCATAACATGCCATGATGGACCAAATAGACTATCTAAAAACTTTTTAAGTTTTGCAGCAATATCTAACACATTGTCTTTTTTGCCATACTCTTCTATCAGTGATCTGGCCTCATTGCTAACATTGATTTGTTCTGGTAAACTCATGTCACCTGCAATGTATTCAACATCTTTGCCAAGTTTAAAATATCCTGATTGTTGCTGGATTGTAATCCGTCTTTGTTGTTCACTGTAATGAATATATTTAGAAAAGAAAGAAATAATAATTGAAATTGTTTTTTTTCTCGCGTATATGATACAGCGGTTAGGGTGCTCGCTGACCATTCACATGGTCCGGGGTTCGATCCCCCGCCACGGACGCACTCCTTTACCTCGCCAAGCCAGAAATAATGCTGGTAAAGAGGAAAGGTTGGGAATGAGGCTGGCTAGCAACCCCATCCTATAAAAATAAACACTGCTAGAGAAACTTCAAGCTACTAGCTTGAAGCCCTATGTTCCACTGGGGAACGTGAAGGAGACAAAAAACTATGAAGAGAGAAAGTGAAGGTTTACTCACTCACTGTGTGTTAGATGTTGTTGAAAGTGGAAAGTGAAAAATTAATATGCCCGGATGACAATCCTTCTAACTACTAATGATTATGTAGACAAGCTTGAATGAATCTATGTTGGAAATAGATAATACCCCTCCCTATCTGTGCTGTGAAAATGCGCCGAAAGTTCTCAACGCTTAGGTCGCGTTTCTCTATAAGTGTTATCTGATTCTGCCTACCATCTAATAGCTCTAGTTCTACGGTATTCCTTGTTATGGTGTTTTTTATCTGTTGAAGTGTGTCTGTTCATTTCTTCTCATATCTGAAATGATGAAGGTTGCTTTAAGATCAAAGTATGGAAAAAAATAAATCGATACGAATATCTCAAAGTACTTCAAGACGGTCGAGGAAGAAGACGAAGAAGAAAAAGGACAGAAGGAGAAAGAAATAGTCTGTTCAGCGGTAGGGGAAAGTTCTACCAGGAATATTTCAAATAGATTCTACCTCAGATGTCAAGAAAAAGAAAGGATGTGACACAGTATGTTAGTTAATGCTCGATTGTTCAAGTTAATAGTTAATCGTAATAAACTTTAAAACTTACAATTCTTCTTTCGCGATACCCAAAACTTCCAAAAATCTATTCAGCGTTATTTGATGCGTCCTTTCCTCGGTGAATAACTTTTCCCATCTCTAAATCAATATCAGAACACAGAAGAATAAGAATAGAAGGTAATTTCAGGAAATATTTCATGCAAAACTGTGATGGAAAATTTGTCTGGAAAATCCTTCACAAACAATCTAATCACAATTTAATTGAATTTTAGATTTTTCCGTCGATTGATTGGACCGAAGTGCTCAGTCTCAGGTTGACGTGTCGACTTTTTGTGCAGGTGCTTCGACGATGTCTGGGCATGTCATTAGAACTTAATTGGTGGATGGTGACTAGCAGTGGAATCCAGGATAATGCGCACTTCGTCTTATTTGGGTCCAATCAGTCAATGGGAAAATCTAAAATTCAATCAAATAATTAATATGAACTGTTGTACAAGAGGTGGCTCTCTTGGCCCAATGGGTCTAGTGGGTAACGCTTTGACGTTTCAAACTATGGGCACTGTGTTCGAGCCCGGTGGAAACATCATCACTCAATGACTGGAGAATGCAGGTACATCAAGATGACGAGTCCCAAATAGGGGGAAATGCGCGTTATCCTGGATTCCACTGATAGTCACCATTCAGCAGTTAAAATCTAATCACAATATTTATACTTATTTGGATGTTTCGCCTAACTTTGTAATTATTATTGTCCCGTATTCTTCTAGGCTATAGATCATTGTTCCGACGTTTGCATATCATTTGCTGATTTGATCCTCACGATTTGACTTTCTCACTTTTTTCAATCTCTAACTTTAATTCTTCTTCTGTTTATGATTTTGTCAAGATATTGATAGTGTGTTTGTTGTTTGACAATATGATGTTGTTTGAGTGCATCAAGGTCATTCTGATCTTCGAGTGTCTGGCGTTGGCGGGAAGGGGTCATTGTTTTCGTGTATGATCCCTGTCGACAGAGTTTTGATCCTATCAAGATGGGAGTATTCTACTTGATTCCCAAGTACTTATTACGATCAAATTTTAGTGAACAAATTTTATTCTGCAGTACTTGTCTTGTACTCAGAAAATTAGCTGAACTGTATAGCTAATGACACTGTTGAGGTAAATTTGATTTTTTTTAAATGTTATTATTGTTGAGTAGAACCACATGGATCCTTTTGTTGTCCTTCAGGTGTTTTGTGATTGTGCGTTTCTCAAATAAGTTTCAGACAGCTATCTAGGAGAACAAAAAGATCAGTCCTCTGGAGCGAGACCAAAATGAGTCCATTTTTAGTGGTTACCTTTGTTCAATGAGTTGCCTTTGAGAACTTTGTTATAAAATAATAATAATATATTGGTGACACGTGATCTAATAAATCGATAGAGCTAAGTAGATGGAAAACACAATATCACAATGATCAGGAGTATTCAGTCGAATAATTTTAATTACACACAAAATTATTGTCTAACTAAACAGTACAAATTATGCATAAATACATTTTTTATGATTCAGTTTTAAAAATTGATCTTTAAATGATTATTATTTATTGATTTTCTGAAATAAAACTTTTAAAAATATGTTGTAATGAATAAAGTGACGTTAATGTTTGATGAACTGAGAATACAAGTGAATAATTTACTAATTCCGTGCTGAAAATAGTGTTGATATTTCTTTGGAAAATTATCATTCAGCCTGAGGAGGTGTTCCACTTAACATCTGGTAACTGAAATGTTTTTAATTCAGTTTTATTATCTAGTAGCAGCATAAGGGATTCTTTGTCACAAGTTGGTTAATATGGTGGTATAGTTTAACGCCAAGGTAATAATAATAATAATAATAATATATTTGTGATTCACAAGCAGAAAATAGAGTTTAAATGAAATATAAATGATGTAAAAGTGTACTTCTCTCTTCCTGGAGGAGAGGAGAAGAGTGCAGAACAATAATACTGAGGGGTATTGGTGTCAGTTCACACGAGGAGACTGACTCAAATGACTCAAAAGGAAATACTCAGGATACTCAACTTCGTTAATACGCTCATGATCTGATTGTCTCCTTGCCAGTTGTGTCACGATCTGACTGCTCAAAACTGATCGAATAACTTTTTGACAAGCATAAACTAGTGAGTGGTTCAAGCTAAATAGCCACACGTTGAATCCCTCCACATGTTGGACAGTTAACTTCACCTACACACATAAACGTGATCTGCGCGAAAATGATTAATTCACACGATACTTCTAGTGTAGAGGGCACTGAAATGGAAACTAAGTCAAGCAGTAAATACCTCTGACATTTCTTCGTCATCCCACATCTTGCCGATTTCTAAGAAAATGTTCCATCTAACCTACACTACACTAAGGAGTTGAGACAATCAGGTATGCGTCCTTCAATCTCTACTTTTACAATTTGTTAACTTTTGAATCTTACCTAGTGTAATTTATTGCTCCCCCCCTCCTTAGTTTGTTCTGGACTACACACAAAGGAATATTTCACATTTCGAGGGCTATAAAAGGTTGTCAGTAGGACAAGTAGTGCGCCACTAAGTCACCCGGTTACTAGTGTAGTTGCCAGACGCATGAGATCATGTGATAAATGCTCCAAAATCGACATTGAATGACTTTCAACAATGTCTCTATTCAAAACTATCGATGATGTTAGAGATAGTATTAAGCCTGAAACCTATAGCTTACTATGTAATTAGTGAAATAAGTGGCTCTTTGGACTTTTGAATTTATTGTTACAGCTAATAACCGAAAATTCCTATTATCATTTTTGGTTACCTATACCTTGTAATATATACATATACATATATATTCTTAATATGCCCGAACATGAACAGTGTAATGATGTGTGGTTGTAGCCAGTTCTGATTAATCCTGTTCTATAAGTGAATAGAAGGTGTTTCCAATTCAGATAAAGTAATAACAATTTGTTTGACTCCAAAAAACAGTACTTATTTTATACAGCGTGGAATTCTCAGCATATACTACCAAAGTGAATCTAATTTGCTCAGAAATACAAATTAATAATAATAACAACTTATTTTGGCATTAGTAGTACCGATAACATCATAAATGTTCAAAAAGTATACAATGATGATAATGAAAAAATAATATTTCGATAGAGAAAGAAACACCAGATTTGTAGTATAAAATGATGCTATCATTCCATTTCACAGGCTCTCATCAGCTGCATACCACTATCTGAAATTACAATGGTTATAAATATAAATATATATATAAGTATAATACAGCACTACATGTTCTATAAGCCAATCGAAAGTGGATAAGTACCCTACTGATATTACCCCCAACTGCATTTATAAATTTACGTGCATCTGCCTCAGCAAGTACATTAGAAGGACAGAAAGAAGGGCTTCTATCCGGTTTTCAGAGGATATTCTAAGAACCTTCTGCTTAAAAGGAAGCAGATATTTCCAAAGTGCAATTACTAGACACCTTGTGGATATTGGTCATTTTATCAAGATTTCCAAATCCTTCAAAATATTAAACATGTAAAGGACAGCGAATCTACTACGATTTAATGCTGAAGCAATTGCAATCAAACGTCCCAAACCAAATTTATGCACACACCATATTACTTTCATTACACTGATTAGTCATACACACTAGTGACCTCAGCTGACTGAACTGAGCAATTTTCCAATTTGATGAACTTTAACCTTCTTGAGTTGCCATGTTGACATACAATCTCACACTGTTTATTAGTTTTTTTCTCTTTTCTGTCATCTCTCACCCGCCCTTTTTTCATAGTTTGATGGTATATAAATTGGTAGTAACTTAAACTAAAAATTGTAATACTTATAACCCGGATGCGTTCATCTTAAAATATTTTCTCCGTTAACTTTCAAACATTGAAGTATGAAATATTATTATTCATAATCATTGTAATTTCAGTTAGTTTGCAGCAGCTGATGAGAGCCTGTGAAATAGAATGACGACATTATTTTATACTGCAAATCTAGTCTTTTTTTCTCTATCGAAATTTATCAAGAGAACCAAAATTATGAAAAATAATATTAACTAAAATTATAAGAGAATTAAAATAGTGTTACCATAAATTACAAATAGAAGACCAGAGAGCCATTTATTTTTCAGCTAATTACATGGTGAGTTATAAGTTTCATGGTTAACACTATCTCTATGACATAGAAGGTGGGACAAATAGGCTATCGCTGAGTCTTTATACTTAGTTGTACGAGTATATAATCTTTTCTAGTGACTTTAAGTCCTAACCTGATGAGATCCAAGCGGAGAGTGCAGGTGTCTGTCTACTACAGTAGTAATGAGCTAGCTGACTTAGTGGTACATCACCCGACTTACTGCCAACCTTCAATACCTCTCACAATATCACAGTGTCTTACTTTTGATTAAGCTGAGGAAAGACTAAGCGGGGATAGTAAAGAACAATCTAGATTAGATTGCACCATTTTAAAAGAAAGAATTATTTTTGAATGAACTAATTTTCAGTATATTTGAAATCTTTAGTGTTATAAAATATCTTCCTCTTATCACATTCATTACTCAGCTAACTCTAAAGAATATTGATCAATATTTTAAATGTATCTATCGATTCGAGAGACTGAGAAATAGCCTCCTAATATAGCGTCTGATAATAATGTAAGTTGGTTATTCAATTTCAGCATGAACAATTAAATAAGCCCTATCAATTACATCACTTTTTCAAAGTGTACTGAAAAACTGTAAATACCGAAAAAAAGATATATATATATATACATTTGTTTAAACTTGGACTCCCTGTTTGAAAACTATGCAAGCGTATTTTTCTGAGCACTGTTCCCTAAGTTCGCAACTTCATGTCAACTGAACTCATGTAAAATTTGCAATTATGTCAAAATGTTTCTGTACATAAAGTTAGCAATACTTTATTTAAGCTGTAAGCAGCTGAGCTGATGAGAAGCCAACGAAATAAGGAATGATGGTACCATATTATTTTGCTGAAACTACTGTTTTTCTTGCTTTATTCAAATTCATAACGGAGAATAAATGTATGAAGACTATATATACATATATGATACGTCTGCGAAGGTGTCGACTGAATTCTTCAAAAGTTTAGTGATCTTTTCAATTGCCTCACTGATAAGAACTGTATAATACAAATTTTCAATACGTTAAGGAGTCGGTATGTATTTTTCTTTCAAGCCTGTAGCCAAACCCAGTGATGACTGAGTCTTACCAAGTGTATAGTAAGCAAATCAAGCATGGCTTGTGTTAGTGAATTACTAACATATAGATATTAGAATAAAAAAATCTATTTCTTCAGTTATCCTTCTGAAATGAAAACTTGATACTTGTATATTACACATTACGTAATCGCTCAAAATCATTAATAATGCATATATATATATATAGTGTTAAAGTGTCGTGTATTAGTATAGTAGTATAACTTACTTCGATCATTTGTGGATCAAGACGATTCACTCTAGTGTAATCTTGTAATTCACTTCTTGTAATAACGCCATCATAATTTTTATCAATTTTACAAAATACATCTATAAAAGGATCCATTTCGTTTGTTTTACCGCTTCAACAATAATAATAACACTAATAATGCGATGGTATATTACTTTTATAGATAGATATATTAGTCAATATATATATTTTTTCAAGAGGAAATTGAAACTTCTCGCAGTGGAACCGAAATAGAAAACTAATAAAAACTGAAATTCCTTGGGTTATATATATATATATATATATATATATATATATATATATATATATATATATATATATATATAAGAGCCAATTAAGGTAACTAGATTTGAGAAGGAGTATTAAAGTCCATCTCAATTATTATTATTACTCTAAGTATTAGTATTAGCAGTATTAATATCACTTCTTTTACAACCAATAGGACAAGTAGTGCATAGAGTGAATATATATCTAATTTCTACAAATCACACCTTAAACTACATCATTTTTGTTTTGCATACCTGGCAATACATATACACAGTTTTAATGAAATATAAACAATGTGAAACGTAGGCAACGCACATTGTTAAATAAGATGCACACTATTACTACTACTACTACTACTACTACTACTACTACTACTACTACTACTACTACTACTACTACTACTACTACTACTACTACTACTACTACATAATATCGTCAATTTTTAATTTGTATTGCTTTTTGTTTGTTTACTTGACTGTTTGTTTGAATGTTTGCTCTTTCTATCATTTATCTATTCATCTGTACGTGAACGTGAATGTGAACGCGCCAATTCGTCTCCTTTTTTTTAAAAACTCGTAACTCTATTTCAAAGTTTACTTTGAATCCTACACGAAATTAAAATGACTTAATGAGATAACAATTATTATTATTATTATTCATTGAGACAAAGAAAGATAATCCTGACTTTAAGTAATTCGTCAAAAGAAGGCATTATAGTTTATATGTAGTTTATCACAGTCATGAATGTAAGTCACGTTTAATGTACATATGCATATACGCATGCCAAGAATAATTATTACTGAAAATCCAATATACAATTAAGGTATTCACAGATCCGACTTTTTAAATATATATATATATATATATATATATATGCATATATATGTAATAGAGAAGATTTGTAGCCCTTTCTTTCATGGAGCTTGTTTCAACGGTTTCTCACCTCTTCAGATGCAGATCCTACTTTTTTCAATTCTTTTACGTTTCAAATGGGATGTAGGGATTCAAGCTTGTGCTTTGAAGTTTACGAAGTGGTGGTGTTGCCAGCTTCATGTTTAGCTTCCTCTTCCTTTGACCGGGATTACTACTGGCTAAATGAGGTTTAAGAGTGCCTTTGCGCAGGGGGTCGAACCAGGCCCAGGCGAGATCCACAAAACTAATCCATATATTATTATTATTATTAATTTTATCAACAGCTTAATAGTTAGACAATACTATAAAATACCATATATCAGAGTTGAACATAAGGCGTCAACAATACATCTTCATCCTACAATAACCCATGCGCTTCCATTTCCTTCTAACACGCGATCGCTTTCATATCACCCTGGTATGTTTGACATGCCCAACTCATCATTTCCCATTCGGTTTTCAATCTAGAGCTTGGTATGTAATGAATTTAATATGCGATGGAATAAATATCTTGGTTATATAAAAAAGTGTATGATTTGTAATGAGTAGTGTCCTGTGAGCTGGTCGATTTAGTTGCGTAGCTTTCGTCCTCCTTAGCAATGATCAATACATATGTAAAGATGGTTGCCAGGAGACGCAATTCTATCATTCATGGAAAATTTAAATCAACTCACCTTTTACCAAAAGATTGCGCTGAAGATGTAGTCCAGAATGAGGCCGAAAGCGCTGAAACTAAACTAACTAGCTCAGAGAACGCCACTAATTAAAATATATATGTTTGTTAAAATAGCAAATCACGTATTCAGTCATCGTATTCTTTCTGATCTCGATTATTGTGACGATGACTCTGAAGAGATCGATATAGAGGCAGAGAGAGGGAGTGTTATACTTTAATTCATTTCATCCTGAGGAATGAAGCTTGTCAGTTGGATGCACATCTACCACTACGATTACTACTATTACGACTACTACGTTCAATATAGCATTTCTGAGGATGTCACCAGCAGAAATAGAAGAAGCGCGAAATGGGAAAGATGAAACAACATCACATGAAGTACGTGCACAATCTACGCCAATATTAAAACGACAAAAACCAGAAATCATAAGCGTAAAAAGCCTTAAGAATAACAAGGATATAATAATCAATAAATCAGGCAATAGGGAATTCAGTAGTATTAGCATTATAGCAAAAATATTCATTCAGATATCTATAAAACACAAAATAATCGAGCAAAGAATATTCTTTTCGATGAATTCCTCTTCTGGCTCTACAATGATATATATATATATATATATAATATTGTTATTAACTACCAACCTTGAATATTCTGCGTATATAAACATGTATACAATTGTAGAGCCAGAAGAGGAATTTATCGAAAAGAATATTCTTTGCTCGATTATTTTGTATTAGTATTAAACAAATCAGATTATTTGGAATAAGGAACAGGAATAAGGTTAAGAAGTCTGCAGCGGTTTTTATACGCCGAATGAAGCAATTCCTAGGTGATTCGAAATAGTTTAATTTGCTGTCGAAAACTCATAATTTTCAAAAGTTAGTTTATAAAGATTCATATCAAAGGGGTTGACCTGGTTGGAGGTGAGAACAAATACTCGCTGATGACACTGCTGACTAGTGGTCGCGCTAAAATCACGAGTTGGTAGAAGTTAGGATTTTATGATTTGGTCTATTCAGTTGGGTTCCGATGGCTAAATGATACACGAGCTTCCCTTGTAACCAGGAGGTCTTCGGTTCAAACGCCATTAGATTTGTACCGGTGATGAGTTCCAAACAAAGCCGAAACAAATGTGCCATACTCTCTGGTCGTTTTCAAGGATTCTTTAACTGATATAAATCTGCGATTAAACTTGAAAAATAATAACTCCAGTGGAATGTATGACGTGTTAAAGTTCACAGGTTAGGATATCCTATTAGACCTATGTTTGATTTTAGAAATTCATCTGTTCATAATTCACCTACCATGAGATGTGCTACAACCGTGACCATGATACATAATAAAAGAAGACAACGTTGAAATTCAAGAAGTGTTTTTGAACTACTGAGGAAAACTAAGCCAACAATCAAATATATCCGCCAGACAAGGTTACTAATTGTAAGGGAATAATTATTGGGAAAATTTCTCTTCAGCAATCCAATTACAATGTGAATGCTTACTCAGATGTTTCACCTAACTTTGTAATTAATATCTCCTTCTTCTCCTACATTCTACGTCATTGTTCTAACATTTGTGTATCTTATATTGACTTGATCCTTATTATTTGTCTTCCTCTCTCGTTCCTCTTAAATTTTATTAATTCTCTTCATGATTGTGTGGTGATATTGATAATGTGTTGTTTTATGACTATGATTTTGTCTCAGCAACTGGAGCTGATTCTTACCTTGGGTTGTGTGTAGGAATTGCTTGGTGTATAATTCTTATGGAAAGAGTTTTTATCCCACCTTGATGAGAATATTTTATTCGATTCTTAGTACATGTTGTGTACTAGAAAGATCGCTGATCTGTGCAGCCGCTTTAAGACACTGTTGAGGTAAATTTGAGTATTTTATGTTATTAATGTGGCACAGAACCATAGATCCAACGACTTCTAGATCTACACATTGTTCAATCATATTATCCATTACAGTCCTACAGGAGGTTAATCGCGAGCTGGGATGGCTTAGTGGTAACGTTTCTGACTGCGTTACTGTAGTCACATGATTCACATGACCTATGGGACTCTATGAAGCACTAATCAGTACCTGTTAGCTTAATACAACCGTTCCTTATTACATAGCATTCGGTAACCAGTTGACCTCTCTTCTGACTTTTCCAATCACAACCAGGGCTAGTAAACACTGCACCATACAGAATACATTGAGATGACATTTATAGCCCACCTCAGAGCTACAGAAGCCTCTATTCAGTAGCACCATGATATGTTGAACAACGTTCCAGGCTAAGTCCAAACGCACTCAATCAAACCTCAGGGTTGTTCGAATTACGACTGAGTAAATTTTAAGGAAATGCTAGGCTTCACAGATCTACAGCAAGACTACCCATCAAACGTTTTCAACCTGACTTGGTGTTACATATCTTAGTGAAGGAAAGGTTTCTAGAAGCAGTTCTTTGGCTGCTCAGATAGACTAAGATTTAAGTTTTTCAATGACCTGCCGCTCACAATATTCCTGTCACGGCCACGATAACGCCCGGATCGATGCGGGTACCTGTTTTGATGGACCACACTCCAAACATTCTACCCTAAATTTATTTTACAAGACAGTGAGGCAACATCATTAGCTGCATTTACGCGGGTAAGAAAGGTAGGTTGGTGAACTATCCATCAATTTGATATAGTGAAGCTCACGTGAACCATTTGAATAGGATAAGAGTTTTCCAAATCCTCTAACTTCAGTCTTTCATATATATATCAATCCGGTTATGATCAGCTGATATCCTCATCAGTCCTTTCATTTACTGAAAGATACTTTACCAGTGGATCAGACCTCCTTGGTAAAATTCAATTAAATTTTATATTTTCCCGTCGATTGATTGGACCGAAGTGCTTTGTCTCAGATTGACATGTCGGCTTCTTGTGCAGGTGCTTCGAAGATGTCTGGGCATGTAATCAGAATTTAATTGGTGGATGGTGACTAGCAGTGAAATCCAGGATGCTCATTTCGTCTTGTTTTGGACTCGTCATCTGGATGTCACCATCCACCAATCAAATTCTAATTACATCCCCAGACATAGTCGAAGCACCTGCACAAGAAGCCGACACGTCAACCTGAGACAGTGCCCTTCAGTCCAATCAATCGACGGGAAAATCTAAAATTCAGTCAAATAATTAATCTGAACTGTTGTACAAGAGGTGGCTCTCGTGGCCCAAGTGGTCTAGTTGATAACGCTTTGGCGTTTGAAACTATGGGCACTGGGTTCGAGCCTCGGTGGGAACATCATCACTCACTGAGAAATGCAGGTACATCCAGCTGACGAGTCCCAAATAGGACGAAATGCACGTTAGCCTGGATTCCACTGCCAGTCACCATCCATCAATTAAATTCTCCTGCGTAAAAGCTATGGAATTTGTGGCATTCTGAAGGAAACAC